GGTGGATCTGTAGGTCTCGTAGTCCAGGATAGTAGGCAGGAACCAGATAAACTGGTATTTGAACTCTATTTTGCCCATAATCAGAAAGCCAATCTGTTACTCACCCTCTCTGTGCCTCAGTTTCCTCACCTGTAAAAAGGGAATAAAGTGCCCTCCTCACAGATTGTTGTAAAAATTATGGGAGATAAAGTATTGTGATTGCTATTACTATTTTTATTTTTTCATTTATTTATTGAGAACTTACTAAGTATTTGAGGATACAGCAGTGAAATAGACAAAACTCTCTGCCCACATGGAACATAAGTTCTATTATTTCTTATCATCCTAGGGTTTAATCTTAAAGTAACAGGTAAGAGAAGTAGATCTCGTTCTTACAGTCAAGTTGACTCCATTCAGTTGTCCTAGCAGAGATGAAATGCTTTAAACCAGACACAGCATGTCTTTCACTGGGTTCATTCTGATATGAACATGATGCTCCAAACTCTGAATTTCTACATTTCTTATTTGGTTTCATTGAGATCCATTAATCCTAATCACTTAGATTAAATATTTTTTCCCATTTTAACTTTATAAACTTCAATTCATGTTTGGCCAATTTGTTTGGATTACTTTCTTTTCCTTTTTCCATGATATTATTTGCTGTTACTTTGACAGGGGAAAATTCAGTAATTTCGTTAATAAATTTCAAAATAGGGGGTAAATTAGATTTATTTAACTGTTTGATAGTGACCTGAATTTAACTATTCGAATTTATATGACGGGAATCACATTAACCAAAACAGTACGATGTATCATATAATGTTTCAATATTAGGAATTTGATGTTTCAAGGAGCCATAATATAGGCAAAAGTGCCACACTGAGGACTAAAAAGCCAGGGGCATATAACTGGCATATAGAAGGGTAGTTTCAAACAATTTTAAGTTATCCCAGATTTTATCAGAGAAATTCAATATATCAAAAATACATGATAAGGGGCTTCCCTGGTGGCTCAGTGGTTGAGAGTCCGCCTGCTGATGCAGGGTACACGGGTTTGTGCCCGGGTCCGGGAGGATCCCACATGCCGCGGAGCGGCTGGGCCCGTGAGCCGTGGCCACTGAGCCTGCGCGTCCGGGGCCTGTGCTCCGCAGCGAGAGAGGCCACAACAGTGAGAGGCCCGCGTCCCGCAAAAAAAAAAAAAAAATACATGATAAAGATTTACTTCAGATTTTAAATACATAAAGTATGTTGTGGGAAAATAATACATTTCGATTCAGCAATGCAAATTATTGCCATATCTTCCTTCATTCTACTAAAAAGCTTAAGCATTGAAGTACCGTAAATTGTACAATATTTACCTTTATGCATACGGAATTAATAAAGAAATAGCAGTCATTCCCAACTTCTGCCATTTTCCACTCTCTTGCTACTAATCCTATGTTTTTTAATATAAGAATTGCAGGAATG